AAAAAAAGACCACCTCTCAGCTTTACCCAAAGCATTGAAGCATTGTGGGCTGAGGTCGTGAGGAATGGGGATGGGGTGGGACAGGCACGCGCATGGTGAGTTTAAGGCTTGGGCTCTGGAATTAGACAGACTTGGGTCAGAATCCCGACTCTGGCAGTTGGCTGTGTGACCTTGGTCAACAGTCATCCTTTTGAGCCTCTGACGGCATCGGGCCAGGGCTCTGCATGTACGGCCTCCACATTGTAAGCCGGTGTGGATGTGGCTCTGGCCAAAGCGTGTCACCAGGGCTTCTCATTGGCATGACTGGGGTGGTCCTGACCATGGGTCTGCACACAAGGCTGCAGAACATGGCTGTGGGACTCTGTGCCCCATGTTTCTGTTCCCAGATCTTTCTGGATCTCTCTTGCATCTTCTGTCTTCCTGTCTCCTTGTACATCTCAGTCTCTCTTTTTCTTCCAACTTCTCATCTCTTGAGACCCTGCATCTTTATTTCATTCTTGGGAACTCAGTCTTGATATGAAGTGTGGGGTTGTGCATGTTGTTTGGGGGGGGGGTTGTTGTTGTACTGAGAGTTCTTAGGGGATTCTTGGAGCCCTCCAGAGGTTAAGAAAGGCCTGGAATTGGGAATCTGTAAGGGTTTGGGACAGGAATTGGGAATTTGGGATAGAGGCTTGGGGCTGGGAGGGTCAGGGCTGGGCATCTGAAGTGAAAAATCAGCAAGGTCTGAGGCAGGCTCTGGGATTAGGGAGGGGCTGCCTGGTATCCAGGCTGGGGGCTAGAGTATGGACAATGGTGTTGGGGTGGGAACCGGGCACGGGCTGGGCTGGCACTCAGGCTGGTGCTGAGCCCCATGTCCTCGCAGTCAGGTGGCTCAGACCAGGAACGTACCAAGAAGAAGCGTCGGGGGGACCGGTACTCTATACAGACATCTCTGATTGTGGCCACGCTCAAGAAGATGCTGCCCATCGGCCTGAACATGTGTGCACCCACTGACCAGGACCTCATCGCGCTTGCCAAGACCCGCTATGCCTTGGTGCCTGCCAAGCCCCATTTGGGAATCTGCCAGGATCCCACTCAGCACCCCACTGAGCCCCCAAGACCCCAGGAGCCCACTGGGAGCCCTCCCTTAAGACCCTACTGAATCGTTCCCCAGGATCCTGAGGACTTACTGGGCCCCTAGGATGTCCTGAGGGATGCCTCAGGATGCTAAGAACCCCACTTGGGAAACTGCCAGAGCCCTGGGACCTAAGGACCCTACCTGGGACCCCACTGAAACCCAGAAATATCACTAAGACCCTCTCAGATCCTCCCCACACAAGCCTTCCACCAGCTGCTGGGGTGATGGGGCTAGCCTTAGAAGGACCACATTGAGCCTTCAGGGACCCTACTGAACACCCTCCCCCAGGCCCTTGCCAAACCTATTATGACCTTGAGGACCCCACCCAAGATACCATTAGTACCCTTGAGACTCCTCTGAGACCTCCTCCAGGACCACCCATAACTCTTTGGGACCCAATGATCTCCTCATGATCCCACTGAACTTCTTGGACCCCACTGAGCTCTCCAGCTCACCACCTCTTTCCCTCAAGACCCTGCTGGTCTCTCCTTCTGGACTCTACTGACACCCAACTGAGCCCCCCAAAACTCTCAGGGGCCCAGTGAGCACCCTATGACCCTAAGTAGCCCTGCAGAATCCTAATGGCCCCTTCCCTAGGTCTACACACAATCCTCTGAGGTCTCAAGAATCCATGGGATCCATTGCCCCTGCCCCTGTACCCTCTTAAGCCCTCTGGGACTCCAAGGAGGCCTCGCAAGACCCCACTTACCCCTTGTATGGAATAACACCCTCCCCCTGATCCTTTTCAGCTGCAGGAATCCTAAGAAGCCCTCTGAGGATCCTGTCCTAAGACCCCAGCTGCTGGGGTGACGGGCCTAAAAGGGAAAGGGTTGTGGGTCAAGGAGGACGTGAGCCCTCCGGAGTGACCCAGCCTGGCCATGTTTCCCCAGAAAGACACGGATGAGGAGGTCCGGGAATTTCTGCATAACAATCTTCACCTTCAGGGAAAGGTACGCCTCCCTAATCTGCAGCGGGGCACGCCGGGATAATAGCAACGATAAGAGCCAACTTTTGAGCACTTACTATGTACCAGGCATCAAAAGAAGGACCTCAACTTGTACTCACTCCCCATTGAATTATGCTTGATGGCAGTGAAAGGGGGCGGGGCACCGAGCAGCCTCGCTGAGCGCAGGGCCATGCCCCACCCCCACCGCTCCCGAAGCCCGGCCAAGGGCGTTGGGGTCAGGGTGGGGGTCCTCACGCCCGCCGACTGTTCCTCCTCTCAGGTGGAAGGCTCCCCTTCTCTGCGCTGGCAGATGGCCCTGTACCGGGGCCTCCCGGGCCGCGAGGAGGACGCGGACGACCCCGAAAAGATCGTGCGCAGAGTCCAGGAGGTGTCCGCGGTGCTCTACCACCTGGAGCAGGTGGGCGGGGCCCGCGGGGTCCAGCT